TAATAAAATCAATCGGGGACAAAGATGTTCTAAAAAATTTTGCTTCTGAAGGACTTGGATGGGTGCAAAAAAGAAAAGGTATACAAATGTATTGACCGCATCATCTTTTGAACTTTTTATCATTGCTTCTATCTTTTTTGTTTTGTTTTCACCACCAGTATCCGGCCCACTGGACCGATTAATCTGGTTTAGGGGTCAGTCACCACTGGACCAACTAACGATTGGTCATTGCTGCTATCTTTTTGTTTATGCAGGAGTTCAAAATAATATAGGAAGAGATGATACCATTATACAAGTGATTGATGCTTATTTGAAGCCAAAATGCCACTCTGCAGATACAAATTTTGTGCTCAAATATGTTATTTAATTCATTGTTTCCAGTTCTGAATCTGGTTACGAATTAGATACGTGCTTAAAATAAGAATTTGCAAAATATTTTGTAGGGCTCATTCTCAGTATCCATTTCAACGTACTAAGCTCCATCACATATGTGCTGTATACTTTGAATGGCCTTCGGAGAGAACAGGTACTTTATCTAATTTCAAATGCTTTTTCTTGTTAGGCGTTAGTTGGTCAGTCACCACTGGACCAACTAACGATTGGTCATTGCTGCTATCTTTTTGTTTATACAGGAGTTCAAAATAATATAGGAAGAGATGATACCATTATACAAGTGATTGATGCTTATTTGAAGCCAAAATGCCACTCGGCAGATTCAAATTTTGTGCTCAAGTATATTATTTAATTCATTGTTTCCAGTTCTGAATCTGGTTACGAATTAGATATCTGCTTAAAATAAGAATTTGCAAAATCTTTTGTAGGGCTCATTCTCAATATTCATTTCAACGTACTAAGCTCCATCACATATGTGTTGTATACTTTGAATGGCCTTCGGAGAGAACAGATACTTTATCTAATTTCAAATGCTTTTTCTTGTTAGTGGAGCATTGGTTGCTATATGATAAAAAACAGGTTGATTTACATCTTGGATGAAATTTTGGAAGTTGTTTGCAATGCTGATTTGTTGGTTCATGAAATAGATGGATACATCCTTCCTTGTATAGCAGAAAGAGATTTACGACAATTTGCCAATTTGCGATCGACTTCGTCTGAACTTGGGTTGAACCTTCCTTTACATGACGTACTGCTAACTCTATTCACTAAACCTGATTAATATTTAATTATTCCATGTTAACACTTCTAAATTATGAAGATGAATTGTATTTATATCTACAAGTTCCTTCTTATATCATGCATAATTTTTATCGGACCGCAGATCCCTGTGAAATGTCCGGTGTCAGAAATCATCAAGAGTTGAAAACTGCATGGGAAAGAGTGCTTCGAGGTTTCATGGAAAGACATGGATGGACTTGAGACATCAATAGTACCTGCAGATCTTATAGGAAGGTAATGTAATTCATCTGATTATTATAAATGTGCATTATGCTTCTTTTCAAATACACGCTCGTTATATTGAATGTTACATGAATTTTGTCATCTTTGACATTAACTATATCATCGTTGTTTCACTGTTAATCATCGACAGTGCATGTCCGGAGAAGATTTTGGAATTTGAGGAGAAAAAATTACTGCGGAAGAAACAAAATGTTCAAAAAAGAAGACCTAAGAAAAAGGAAACCACGCCTTCTCAGGTCGAGCTTGGCCTAAAACTGCAGAACCTGTTGTTAGATGATAATTTGGAAGACAATACCAATCACGACGCCAGTGATTCTATTGAGAGGATATTAGAAGAAACAACTTCTATGGTTGATGCTGTTCTAAACACAGAAAAATCGATGTCGTCACATGATGACGATGACATAGAAAACATTGGATGGACTCCGAATATCAGCAACATATCAAGCATGAATGGAAATGAGTGTGTTTCTAGTACAGACAAAAGTGTGGTGATAGATCTTTTGAGCCCTACTCCATTTAAGCCATCAAATAATTCAAAATTTAATTCATCAAGTGAACAAAATATTGAAGTGGTTAATTTGAGTGATTCAGAAAAGGAGGTGTCACCTGAACACAAGCAGAAAGCTAAAGAGTTGAGATTGTTTTTAGCAAGTATTAGAAATGAAATCCATTGAGCAAAAGTGCTTGGATATGTAATTCAGTGCACTAATGAAAAAGAACATTTCTTAATGAGAAAACATTATCAAATATTTCATTTAATTTGATTCATTATTAGTAAAACTCTTGTCTTGAATATTGTTAGAAGTAATTCATATTTAGTAAGAATATTAGTTTTTGTTAAGTTTAATCTAGTTAGTGTAGGTTAGCATTTTGTCTATGTGGCATCATTGTTTGTGTATATAAACAAGTGTAGTTGTCAATAGAGTGTGTGTGTAATTATTTACTGTAACTGTTTTGGAAGAGTGACAGAAATTTGTTATTTCATTTCTCTCTCTTCTCTCCTTCCATCTTCATCTTTTTCATCTTGTGTACCAACAATTGATATCTACAGCTCCAGTTCAGATCCACAAGGAAACATTGGAAAACACGAAGTGAACGGTGAGGCGTTGTGTGATTGATTTTGTTTCTTGAATTCATGTTTAATTTTTTGATCGGAATTATAATAGAGTCACATTTTTTGATTCTGCGGGATTGAAAAACACTAGTGTCTGGTGAGATTTGAGTGAATTGCACAAGGTTGAAGATGAATGGAGACGATAACCTGAGTACTAAGCTTCAAGTATTCGATGGCAAGAACTGGAATCAGTGGATGATTCAGACGCTTGTGTTGTTTGGCGCTCAAGATGTTCTTAATCTCGCCAATGATGGTTACGTTCCGGTTGCACTTCCTGCAAATGCTCGAATGCATAGAGGAATGCTCAGCGTGATCTGGGGAAGAATGATCAAAAGGCGTTGTTCTACTTCTATCAGTATGTGGATTCGAACGTGTTTGAGAAAATCGCTGATTCGACGACGAAAGTTGTGCGAGACACACTAGTATGGTACTACGGTGGTGATGCGTCAGTGAATAAGGTGAAACTTCAGTCTCTACGTAAGCAGTATGCGAATCTTAGCATGAAGAACAATGAGAAGGTACCTGACTACATCTCTAGAGTGATTCTGATCACAAATGAGATGAATTCGTGTGGAGAAACTCTCTCTGTAGAAAGGATCATTGAGAAGGTACTTACATCTCTTACTCCTCAATTTGATTACATCGTGGTAGCAGTTGAACAGTCTAAGGATTTTAGTACCATGAGAATTGAAGAGATGCAAAGTAGTCTAAAGGCACAAGAGTTGCATCTGACTGAGAGAAACTCTGAAATGGAGATAGAGTGGCAGACTCTGAAAGCAGTTTCTGCTAAGAAATATCAGAAGCAGCCGTGGTCAGAAGGCAGGAAGAGATCTGATGGTGCTTAGAAGTTAGAAACCTCAACTTCTAAAAGGCAGAAGAGTGCTTAGAAGGGGAAGGAGAAGTATGACAAGAGGAAGGTTCAATGTTACTGTTGCAAGAAGTTTGGTCACTTCGCTACTGATTGTTTGTCAAACAAGGAAAGGAAATCGGAAGAAGAAAACATAGCCAGAGAATATTCTGATGATGAACCTGTGCTATTGATGACTTCTGAGTCTGATAGTGCGTATTTGGTAGACTGGTGGTATATTGACACTAGCTGCTCAAATCACCTAACTGGAACAAACAATGGCTGGTTGATTTTGACTCTAGAAAGAGGACAAAAATAAGATATGCTGATGATAAATACCTCAACGGTGAAGGCATGGGAAATTTCAAAGTCAAGGTGAAGAATGGTAAAACTATTGTGATCAAAGATGTTTGGTATGTTCTTGGCATGAAAATAAATCTGATGAGTGTGGGTCAACTCATTGAGAAAGGTTTCTCAGTTACTATGAAGAACAATCTTTTGAAGTTGTATGATTCTAATTAGAAGCTGATTATGCAATATGAGTAGGGAAGAAACACAACATTCAAGGTGAATATGGAAACAATTGAAACTAATTGCCTCAACGCAGAAGGCACTGAAGGTGAGAGTGAGTTGTGGCATATGAGATTAGGGCATCTTAATTTCAGAAGCGTATGACATCTGAATTCTAAGAAGCTGGTATATGACATTTCTAAGATTGTGAAACCTGAGAAGCCATGTGAGATATGCATGAAAGGAAAGTAACCTAGATTTCCTTTTGCATCAGAAGTATCCCCAAGAGCAAAGCATGCTTTGGGAGTAGTACATTTTCATGTTTGTGGATCATTTGAAGTACCTTCATTTGGAGGAAACAAGTATTTTGTGTCGTTTGTGGTTGAATTCACAAGAATGACATGAGTAACACTCATCAAGTTTAAGCATGAGGTGTTTGCCGAGTTTCTGAAGTTCAAAGTGAAGGCTGAAAAACAGAGTGGTTAGAAGCTGAAAATTCTCAAAACTAATGGTAAAGGTGAGTACAACTCTACAAAGTTCAAGAATTTCTATGAGGAGAATGAAATTGAGCATGAGGTGACTGCTTCATACACTTCTCAACACAATGGTCTTGCTGAAAGAAGAAACATAACTTTGCTTGATATGACATGAAGTGTAACACCCTTTTCTACCCCACAAATATTATGGAAAAATAACATAGATATCAGAGTAATTATTAAATTTCAGCAAAAAGCCACCCAAAAGGGCGTACATTTCCCAAATCAACAAAATAGGTCAAGGCTCCGTAAGCAACGGGTTTTCCCAAAATACATCAAATTGCACAAAGCAGCGGAACTCAAAAGGCATAAATCGAGGTTTTCCTCATACGGGAAGATAATCAAAATAACCTCAAATAAAACATAGTTTAACTCAAAAGACCCTAACCCGATGTTACATATCAGAGCAAGACCCTCTAAGTTAACCAAAAGGCTAACAACTCAAAGACTTCAAAAATATCCTCGACGACGTCCACGGCTAAACCTGGTCATCTGCACGTTACCCACGTGGAGGTAACATTCAAACAGGCAGGGTGAGTAAAATGATTCATAATAATCAATGTATCAAAATCAACATATAAAACAGCGTCATATTCATATTCAACACATTAATATCCTTCAGTAGGCCTCAAAGGCCACGACATCATAAATCATTCCAAATGACTCATAAATGCAAATGCAACAAGACTCAATGCATGTGGTACTAATCATCACAATGCGATGGACACTGGGCCATCAACCCTCCATAGATCCCCATCAATAGGATCGATTCTACTTGATAACCGGAGCACATCAAAACACTTCACATCCGCACAATGAGATTGTAGACAAAGTAATCGAGGTCCTGAACTAAAGTTCGGATGCACATGAATGCATGATGCACACGTCAATAATCATCTTCACAATAACAACATGGTGCATCATCATTCATCATATTCATCATCATCACAATCATCATCGTATCTCATGTCATCATATAATTCATAAAAGTCATGGTAATATCATCATAGTTTTCCAATCAATACATCTTAGAAATCATCATGTAATCATGTACACATCACATAAAACTCACAGTCATACTCATGTTAATTCGTCAAAGAAATCATAGAATCAAACATCAAGGCATTGTTCCAAACGATCAACATTCGCGAGACTCTATTACATACACTGGCATGTTCGTTAGGCGGGTCTGGGGCGAGTTTCTTCGCTGGGCAAAGGATTCTTCGCTAGACGAGTCTGGGAACAACATGGTTCAGAGCCTAAATCCACCCAAATGTCCACACGGTTCAGTTCCTCAATGCCCCCAAAACATCCCTAAATCATCCCTAAGGTCTTACGGCGATAAAGGCATAAAACCTACGGTTTATTAGGCCAATCCCGTATCATATTCACGCCCTAAATCACAAATTTCCCTACAATTATCCCAAGGCATTAGAGTTACTCATTATCTAATATTCCTATCCCTTCAGGGTTAAACAAATAACAATTCATGGTTTTGGCCACGAAGGCCTAACTTTTCCTTCCCCCCCCCCCCCCCAATGAATTCCACGGTTAGATTCACAATAACAGATTTAGGCCACGAAGGCCAAAGATCACTATTTCTCATATCCACCCTCAAAATCCCTTAAACCTTAAATCGACCTTAAATATATTGAAATTACACATTGAAAACAATGAAGGCAATACTCCCCATACCTTAATCGTCGATTCAAAGCCTTCGCAAATCTTTCAGGGAATCTCTCGAAGCCTCAATACTTTTCACGGTATAACAAATGAATCCTAATCCCTTTACCATTTCCTTTTTGTTAAACCTAGTCTTGAGCCTCACAATTGGGCTTTCTCCATAATACCCTCACTAACTCCTCTGAATTGTCCCAATTGCCCTTATTCATCTTATATTTTTTTAATTCATAATAATATTAATAAATTCATATTACATACTATTATTCACAATATATAACCCCAAAAATGCACAATTCTCAATAATCCACCAAAACCCCCTAAAATCACCGAAAAATGAATATTCTCAATTAAATAAATAAATTAAAATATTCCAATTAAATTTGGGGTGTTACAACTCTCCCCCACTTAAAAGAATTTTCGTCCTCGAAAATTACCTCAAGAAAACAGAGTCGGATACGACTCCTTCATCTGATCTTCACGTTCCCAAGTCCAACTTTCTCCAGCTGGTCCTCCCGAAACTACCTTCATCAAGGCAATCTTTTTACCTCGCAGCTGCTTCACTTCTTGTTCATTAATCCGAACAGGCAACGCCTCAAAAGTCAAAGCATCTCTCACTTGTACATCATCCATCTGAATCACATGCGACGGATCTGGAATGTACTTCCTCAACTGAAACACATGAAACACATCATGCAAATTTGCAAGCGACGACGATAAAGTAATCCGATATGCTACTTCCCCCACCCTTTGCGAAATCTGATACGGACCAACAAAATGCGATGTGAGCTTTCGAGACTTCAAAGCTCGGCCAACACCAGTTACCAGCGTAACTCTCAAAAACATGTGATCTCCCTCTTGGAATTCAAGTGCTTTCCTCTTATCATGGTAACTCTTTTGACAACTCTGCGACGCTTTCATCTTTTCTTGGATCATCTTGATCTTTTCAGTCGTCTCTTGCACAATCTCAGGTCCGAGTACAACACT